AGAATTTCTTTTCTCATCTTTGAGCTCAATACCTTCTGGTACCTTTATCATTATTATAGGAAACCAGACCAGACATGGAGATAAGGCTGGCCAGCTGAACATCTAAGGTACCAAACCATGTAGCTAGGTAATAAATGTCCTACATAATAATCCCAAATCGATTAGATCATGTCTAAAACACCATAGAACCACATGAGAGTGTCGACACAAAGATAATAGATTCATTTAAGGAAGCACATAAAAGGTAGCACTTGAACTTATAGATATAAAGCGAGGATCATGAACCCACATAATAGAGTACTCGTAAGATCAGATTAAATGTAAATGTGAGGTTAGAGTATCTAAAGAAAGAGAGGCGTATTAGCCATATATATATATATAGACGCCATATAATATAAATTAGTGGATATAAATGGGTCATGTGAGGGAAAGAAAATCGTGAGATGTAGAACATGATCACGTGGTCTAAAAGTTGTTCATGTTCTACTTACATCATTCAAGCATGACTTGTTACACAAGGATTTTCACAGAGACCAAACTATGAGGAGATATACTCCTATGTGGTGGATGCTACTACATATTTCAAATTGATAAGGTCTGATCATAAGAAAGACCTCGGATTTTTTATCAATCTATGCACTTCTATTTTCTTTCCAAGGATTCTTATCTCATGGAGCTTATTGGTCTACTTTTTCTAGACTATGTAGCAACTTGAATGTGTCTCCTTAAGACATAAAATTCGTTGGTGCAAGCTGGTATGACTTAGTCATTCTTTTCTTTTCTTTTCAGATCAGCAAATGTGTCTAGCATTTGATTAACTAGCTTTATAAATGTATATTCTTTGTATTTATCTTTGGACGTCTAATTCACTTTCTTTAGTCCGAGGATCTTGCGAAAGCAATGATGGTTTATTATATTCTTATCATTCTTTTACCAGCTTATTTTTTTCTCCCCCTGATGTTGGATATTCGGATTCATTAGACATGCAATCCGTGTACCTTGCCCCAAAGTAATCACCCATGGTTGGCTCTAGGTATTAATATTTGTGGGAGAAAATATATCCAACATATATCCCCATCTTCTTCTTAGAACTCCATCTTAGACGGCACATATGTTTGTGGTGGCATTTCTAAATGTCTTAAGATGAGATATGTCTGGTTCATGACCTGTAATCAGTTTGAGATGGGACTATCTATGCTCACTAGATGGCCTGATGCGTATTAACTTTAAATGCATGTTATAAGAGAATTCGATCAAGCCGTTTAAGTATGGTCATGGACCACGGGATTGTCCTCACTGCCCCCTCATGAACATACTATAATCTTTAAATGCTTGGGACATTATGACCTAATGAGTTTCCATTGTGTACATGTTACACACGTAAGATTTTATGGCATAACTCTTTGTGTCTATTTGTATATCAATCTTTGCATTATGTTTAGACCAGGATGGCCAATCCAGTCATGCCAAAAAGTGAATAATTTCGTGGGTAAACACTTGGTTACCATGGCATTTGCCTCTTATCATACTGATCTTGGCATAGTAAAAATCAGTAGAGGATGCATGTATAGTCTTGACCATTTTCTTATGGTCTTAGGCGATTTTTTCTTTCTATAATCTAAAAGAACTTTTATTTTCTTTGTCTGTTGTTTCAATATGGAAACCATTCTTATATCTTTATATCTTATATCTCAGTGGGCTTCTCTGGGTGAATATAAATCATGCCCTTTAGGCAATAATACAATCCCCTGGCTGTGGTCCTTTATTGGACTTACTATACTTGCAATTTAAACTCATATTGGTGTTTTTAATAATGAAAATCATTCATATTATTAAGCAAAAATCAGACAAGATAAAAGCAATAAAATAAACTCAAAGAAATCATATTATTATAAAGAAAGCAGGAAACAAAGCAAAACACCAAATCAAACAAAAACACACGGAATGTCGAAATTCATTCTCTTAGGCAATATGAAGTCTTATAATCCATAAGGTCATCCTGCTCATGATCAAAGTCGTTTTCCCCATCATGGTGGACCAAATGGGCTTCTGGATTCTTCCCTTTCTGGCTCTCTTGGTAGAGGTCACAAAGATGTCTGGGAGTCTTACAATTCTTAGCCCAATGGTTATGCACTCCACACCTGTGGCACACTGATTTGGACGAGTATGGTAGTTTAGAGATACCACCACATCCTCTGCCTCGACCATGGCCAAAATTTGGTCCACGACCACGATTATAGTGGTTCCCACAGCCATGGGAGCTATAGTGTCCATGCCCACAATGTCCTTTTCCATCCACCATGGATATGACCGTGTGATTTATCACTCTGGACGTGGTTACTTTCTTTAGAATCTTTCTTTTCTTATATAGCCTTATTGGCTTCAGATAATGGGGTTGAGCCAGGATGTCTCATCTCACTGTTCATCATGAGCAACTCATTATTAGTCTCAACCAATAATAGGCATGAGATCAGATCAGTGTAGGTGGTGAAGCCTCTTTCTCTGTATTGCTGTTGCAGCAACACATTGCTTGAATGGAATGTGGAGAAGGTATTTTCTAGTAATTCCTTCTCTGTTACTTCTTCACCACATAGTCTCATCTTTGAGACGATTTTAAACAAAACTGAGTTGTACTCATCCACGGACTTATAGTCATGGAGTCTGATATTCCTCCACTCATATCTAGCCTTTGGTAGTAGCACCGTTTTTGGTGATCATATCTCTGTTGTAAGGTGGTCCAAAGGTCTAGAGGTTTCTCCATAGTGAGATACTGATCTTTTAGACCCTCAGTGAGATGATGGCAAATAATACTTATTGCCTTGTATCTATTTATATCATTCTCATTATTATCCTCGATGATAGTCTCACCGAGTCTTTTTGACCTCAAGTTGATTTTAGTATTTAATGCCCATTGCAAATAATTATCTCCAGGGAGATTTAAGGCACCATAATCTAGATTGCAAATTTTGGACATCTGAATCAATCATTATCAATCAAATTTAGGGTTTCATAATGTTGCTAATTCAATCAAGTCATGCGCATGTATATCAAACAAGAATCTCGACCAAAACAATTCTATACGACCATAGTGCAAACAATACTAGGGTTCGAGTTCTATATGTGAACAAGATGATTAGGCCACGACCATATGACTTATGATGCAAGCAATTACTATCATGCCACAAAGAACTTTAAAATAATGCGGATTGAACATTAGGTTTTAGGGTTTATTAATGCAAGCAAATAACTTTAAGAAAACAATGATCAATCCGGATTAGGTTTAGGGTTAACAAATTTATGGTTACCAACTTAGCAATATACACATGGGGTTTTAGGGTTTTAGATTAGGATTTCAATCATAACAATTAATCAGTCTTAGCTAATGATTCTTAAAAACTCAAATCAAATTTAGAAAACTAGTAATCAGATTTAAAAATATGAGATTTAGGGTTTTCAAGGCCATTTAGAGTTTCAATTTCGGAATTAGGTTAAACATACAATCAATCAAACTAAACCTCAAATCATCAAACAATTTATTCAAACAAGAACAACAATCAAAATCGGATTTATAATTAGGGTTTAGGGTTTTCGATTCCAAAGTTAGGGTTTCATGATGTCAAATCAACCAAACAATAAATCAATCAAAATAAGTTTTATGGAATCGAATTCTTGCATATTATGTATGTACATACATGCGGTTTTATGTTTAAAAATTTAGGGGGTAGATTGTATAGGGTTTGAGAAGAATAACCGGATGCCATGAGACTGGCTTTAGGGTTTTAGGGTTTGATCATTAGATTCCAGTGTTTTAATTGATATACCTTAGAGTTTGTAGGGTTGAACCGGACCAGCTATAGAGAAGAAGAACCTCGAGCAAGGATGACTCGGATCGCGTGCCGGATCAAGCTGGAGCTGTCGAGAATTGTGGTCGGGATCGGCTGAGAACTTCTTCGCGGTTGGGATTGATTGATCGGGTTCTGGAACTGATCGCCGAAGAAGCGGCTGGTCGGATTTGATGGAGGATCGCAAGCTAGGGTTTCTCGGCTAGAGTTTGCCGAGAAAAGAAAAGAACCAAAGGCAGCTGGGTGATCGCCGAGAAAAGGAAAGAGCCGGGCTAGGGCTTCGCCGGAAAAAGGAAAGAGCGAAGGAGGTTGATGATCGCCGGCGAGAGAGCTAGGGTGTTTTCTTATCGGGTTTTAACTTAGGGTTAGAGAACAACTCGTGCTGATAGCATGTTGTAAACTAATGAGAGAATAGATGAATTGATGTCTATATTACTCATGACATAGGATCTCTTATATAGGAAATTATAAAGGAGAAAAATGGAAAATACAAAAACCATTACAAATATGAAAAATGCTAATTCTAAACCGTCATATAAACTACACGGATTGAGCTTAGATAATATGGTTATGGTTCTTCTAGTAATTGGTTCATAACATAAAGATAATCCTGTTGCCCAAAAAAAAAAAACATAAAGATAATCCACTAATTGGTTCATAACATAAAGATATTTCTACATCATTAGCTTTTGAGTATGTTTTAAATTTTTAATTGTCGGCCTAAAAGATATCTCGTGATGCTCTTTACCGAACTAGCCCAATATTTAACTGAAATTTGGTTTCATGAAATTAATTAAAAAGCCTACTTTGACTGTGAGTATTTTGGGCTACTAACTGCACTTATTTGGGTTCTGTAGGCCTATTATAAGACACGTGCTGTCTTATCCAATAATTTTAAACTCAACCAATACGGACAATACGTCGACTCTTGTCCGAAAGCCCCTCACCAACATCAATTATGGAGTTTTGACAATTTACCCGAAAAGAAAGTGATCGTTCCATTAACGCTATTATCTCTAACAAAACAATTAAATCCATTTTGCTCACCTTTTCTCAACCTCTCCTATCATCTTTTAGAACTTCACCTACCTAACCCCTTCTCTCTCTCTCTCTCTCTCTCTCTCTCTCTCTCTCTCTCTCTGAAACAGAGGACACAAAATGGTTTCTGCATCGTCCAAGACCAAAGCTTTAGACCCTCCCCTTTACGCCTTAGGTTTCGAGATCGATGAGTTATCTCCCACACGTGTCACAGGTCGTCTTCCCGTTTCTCCAATCTGCTGCCAGGTTCCTTCTACTTTCTCTTTAATTTTGATCATTGACCCTTTTCTCAGACAATAAATTCTGAGAGATTTCAGTTTTCTTAAAGCCTTTCAAGGTGTTACACGGTGGTGTGTCTGCTTTGATCGCTGAGTCTTTAGCAAGTATGGGAGCTCACATGGCTTCCGGTTTCAAAAGGGTCGCTGGAATTCAACTCTCGATCAACCACGTAAAGAGTGCTGATCTTGGAGACCTTGTCTTCGCGGAAGCATCTCCTGTTAGTTCAGGAAAGACTATTCAGGTTTGGGAAGTCAAGCTGTGGAAGTCAAAGGAAGGGTCAGAGAACAGAACTTTGATATCTTCTTCTAGAGTCACACTCCTCTGCAATCTTCCTGTCCCTGATCACGTCAAAGATGCGTCAGACCCGCTCAAATTGATATCTAAATTGTAAATCTTTAAGTTTTTTTTTTTCTTTCTATCTCTATGATTGATTGTGTTTATCATGGTAATGGCTTTTATTTCCACTTGTGTGTATCATCTTCTCAACACATTCACCCTTTTTGGGTGAGAATAAGCTTAAATGGCAAGGTTTCTTTAGTTCCTTAAAGGAGTTTGTTTGGATGTTCAAGTTTTTCACCGGTATTGAAAGATTTTTCCTTCCACCATTGTTATAGAATGAGTAGCCCTATTGGTTATACAAGTTGTGACCATTCAAATGGCCGTTTCAAAGCTTGACTCTAAATTAGACTATTAAAGACTTATTTTCCTTCTCTCACTGGTCAATTTTACATGTTGGTTATTGATTAATTGTTTATTTTTCATCTTGTATTTTCCTTAGCATGTGATGTAGCAACTATTTTAGCCTGTTATGCTCTTCTATAATGTTACACTTCCTCCCTTAATGAGAGTGGAGTAGAAGATCTTTTAATTAATGAAATACTAGATTTTGATTCGCGTATTTCAAACGCGAAAATATTTTATGATTAAAATTTATATAATTAATTTTTGCCTTTATTTAAAGTATGTTTCGGTACAAAATCAATAATTCCAAATTTGTAATGATGATTGTTTTGCATTAGTTTTTAGTTTCGGTTTTTTATTTTTAGATTTTGGTTTATGGTTTTGAAATTTTTTATGATTAAAATTTATATAGTTTTTGTCTTTATTTAAAGTATGTATTAGTATAAACTCAGTAATCCAAAATTTGTGGTGATGATTGTTTTGCATTAGTTTTTAGTTTTAGTTTTTTACTTTTAGATTTTGATATATGGTTTTTAGTATTTAAGTTTCTATTTTTGATTTTCAGCTTTTGATTTTAGTTTTTAGTTTTTAGATCCGCTAAGTTAGTTTGAACTGATATTACCAACATACAAATCCCAAATAATCGAAAATCTAATTTAAAATTGAAAACAATAGTTTATTTTGTAAATAAAAAAATATAACCCGCGTTTTCCACTTTTGGTTTTGGTTTTTAGTTTTTAGATTTGGTTTTTGGTTTTGCTTTACCTTTTTTTAAATCACTAAATTATTTAAGAAAACTAAAACAATAAATTATTTAAGCAATGTATTGAAATTTACTATTGAAATCTATAAAAACAGAGTGATTGTTATTCAAAATAAAAAATACATTAAACATATTTTAAATTATATGATTTAAATTTACTATTGAAATCTAAAGTGATTAATAATGAACAATTTTGTTTTGGTAAAAGTATTAAACACATTTGGGCTTGAAAATAGTAATTGATTTTTTGATCCACTAAAGTGGAAAGTTTATTTAATATTTTTTTGGAATGTTCCCTTAATACTAAGCCCAAAAACTAACTCATATATTTTGTCTTATAAATAAAAGTAAGCCCAAGACTCTATCACATCGATAACCATCGTTTTTTAATTTAGTTTGCATATATGAATCGTGTTTGTTTAATTTAAGTAATGCGGTTTAATCAACTATATGGCGTGTATTATTTGTAACCTTCTAGAAAGTGATCAAATTTAAATGATAACTTATATCATTAGATAAAAAAGATTCTATTTTAATAGAGTAAATGGTATTTTCAGAAAGAACTTAAAAGTGACAAAAGAGTGTTCCAGTCTATGAACTCATTTTCAACAAACTCAGCCACTAATTATTCAATTTCATGCTTCTATTATTTCATAATCTGCTCTTCACCTTCACAATCTTGATTTTCTTTAGTATTCTCCACATCTTCATTAATGTTTTCTTCTTCCTTCTCTCCGTTTTCATATTCCTCTCCAACAAAAGAACATAGAGAACAATAGCTAGACCAACATCTTTATTCAACATTCTCAAGGAAGTAGCAAGGAGAACTCTCCAGTTAGGTCTTTTCGATTTTTTGAATAGTTACGATATGCTCCCCACTAGGGATGTACAAAATATTTGTAAATTTTGATTCGATTTGTTATCATTTTCGATTCGAACCGAAAACTTTGGATTTCCATAATTCTATGGAAAAAATCAAATAACATATGCAAAATCCGTAAGAAACAAATCAAATCACAAATACTGCTATTTATAGTAACGAGTATTCAATTCTATCTCTTATATGCATATATTTAAATAATTATTTATATATAAATTATATGTATTATATTTTATTTAATTTTTATAATACTTTTATCTATTAAATTTATTATATTAGTTATTAGAATTTAAAAAAGTGAATAACTTTTATTTTTGTAATAACAAATTAGTATTATATATTGTTTTAGATGTTATTTTATTTTTATTTGTACGGAGGGTATCTGGTTAACAATATAAAAAGTCAGATATCAAGACAATGAATATTCGGATAGTTACGGATCGAATCGGATCGGGTAAATGAATATTTGGACAAAAAAAATTAGATCTTGAGTACTTCTAAAACTCAGATATTTGATTCGTGTCCACCTGTATCTTTCGACCCCCAATTTGATTGTTATATTTTTCACTCTCTTCAAAATACAATATTGATTTGATAAACCCTAATCGAAAATTTGATTATCGAATATTGGGAATAGCGGTTTTTATGTATTAAATATAGGGAAATTCTCCATAATAGCTCTTTTGAAGTTTTTGTCACCAAAATAGCACCAGAAGAGAAAAGTAACAAATTTGATATTCATTAATGGGCAAAATGTCTTTAGTACCCTTGTTTTATAATTAATAAAACAATTAAAAAAATCAGAAACCTCTCTCTCTCTCTTTGATCGATCTCTCACGGTCCTCCCTCTCTCTTCAATTTCTCACGGCGGCTACCTCTCTTCAGGCTCCGATTTCGTTTCATCATCTCCGGTGAAGAACACTATCATCATCTCCGACGAAGCGACTCTCCGACGACGACATTTCACACAAGTTAGGGTTTTGTAACTAAAATTTGGGGATTTAAGTTGTTTTTCACATTAGAAAAAAGGAAGGAAGCTTCATTTACAGAGTTTTGATGTTTTGATTTTCTTCCTTTTTATCAATGCTTTATATCTCTGATGTTTTGTTTTGATGGTGGTACCCAGATGTTTTTTGTTTGAAATGTGATAGATATGTGGGAGCATGTGGTGGGTATGGGACTCGGTGCTGTGTTCGCGAATCGGCTTGTGAAATGGGATGTTAAGCTTAAGAAAGATCTCGAGGCCATGCTCGATAAGGCTAGAGCTGCTAATGAGAGCCGTTACTTTGGTATGTCTCTGTCTTTCTTGAAAGTCTCTGTATTTGCGGATTTGTTTGATTGGTCTATGTGTTGCTTCATTAGTATAATAATCACATGGTTCTAAGCCTAACCCACATGAAAATTAGGCTGCGTCATTTCGTTTTAACGGTTTTGTTGTTCTTTTGTTGAGGTCAAAGGGTTGATCTTTTCAGATGTTGAGTCAGTTTAGTCAATCATTGTTATGAAAGTTAGATACTTTGAGTTTGAGTAGCATATTGTTTGTAATACAAGCTAGTAATAAGTGGAAAGATAGATTCTTTGGATTGTTTCTTTGGTTCTAGAATGAGATCAGATGCCGTGTAACCACAGCTTTCATCTCACTTCTTGCTCCCATGGCTTGAGCTTCATAGCTCGTGTCCGGTTTGTAGGTATCCACTACTGATTGTCTCTTGCTGTTTGTGCTTGTGCTGCATTTTTACATATTCATTTGTTGTGTGTTTGCATCTATTGAATGTGTTTAGCAAAGGTTGCTTATGACATTGTTAGTCTTTTGTTGCTGGTGCTTGTGAAATTGTCTGCGTTTATAATGTTTTCAGGAAGCATTTGTGTATTTTCAAGAAAGCTTTCCAGAACTCGGAAATTTTGAAACTTTTTTTGTTTTGCTTATTAGTCTCTTGTTTCTGGTGCTTGTGAAACTGTCTAGTGTTTATAAATTTTTTAGGAAGCGTTTGTATATTTTCAGGAAAGCTTTCCAGAAACTCGGAAATTTTGAAACTTGTTTTGCTTGGTGTCTTTTTCTGCTTAGGCATGTTGATATCTTTGATAGGCTCTTGAATTTGCTTATTAGTCTCTTGTTGCTTGTGCTTGTGAAACTGTCTAGTATTTATAAAAATTTCAGGAAGCATTTGTGTAGTTTCAGGAAAGCCTTCCAGAAACTCGGAAATTTTGAAATGATATCTGAAAAATTACAATTTTGTTTTTGAACCCACCACATATCAAACCTCAGGAAACAAAGTCTTTAGTGTTTTGGAATGTTAGCAGTTTACCCGCTAGGCTGAGAAGAATCATCCGCTATATGCTTCCACATAAATTTATTTAACCGTAAACTTTATGTTATAAACATTGAAAAGAACTTTAGAATTTCAGGATGGGTTTCCAGGATAGTTTAACATTAGTGTGCTTTTTTCTTAAACTAAAAAAAAAATGAAATGAGATCAAAAACTAAGGATTGATATCTGCATTTTCAGTAATTATATAAAAAAAAAATGTTAAATGTGGTGTCGTTATAAAAAACAAGTATTTTAGTCAAACACATAAATTTGTTTAAACTTAAACTATATATTATAAAGGTTGAAAGCATTTGACGATATCTGGATGGACCTCCAGAAATAATATATTAGTGTATTCCTATTTAGCAAAGTTTAAAGTAGACATTAAATAATATTATAAACTAATGATTTCAAATTGTGATGTAGAAGTTTTAGAAAGAAGGGAAACAATTTACATTTCCCATTAGTTTTAAGAATTTAAAGTAATCTTAAGGCAATCGTTGTTTAGGATTACTATCCTGAATCGTTTATAAGGCAATAATCTAATACTTCAGCTCAGGTAGTGTTGGTCTGAGAGGTAATAAAACTCCAATCATGTTACCATCCTGCGTAACCAAGTAACAAATATTTCAAAATTTGTTAAAATCAAATTTTCTGGAAAGCTTCCTGAAACTATATAAATCCTTCTTGAAACAAAAACAATAAGAATTATATATGTCATGGGTTTAGCCAAAATAAGAATTTCTACACTATATTGGTAAGAATCAGATGAAGTTGTCTTATCTAGGATAGCATGTAGCATGGAGTTTACTATGCTTCTGAAAGAGACCCCATTTTTTTTCTCATGTCTCGCCTTCTAATTGCAATGAGCCATCTCTCATTAACTTGATGCTCTAACTGTTGAACCTTTCCCTTGAATACTGTCTCGGTGCTTTCCTCCAGTCTGTCCCAGCTTTCATCATCGCTGCAAACTCTTCGTATCTTATTACTCCATCCTAATAATCACCAAGCCAGCATAAAGGATACAAGACTTGTAAAATTACTACTATTAGCCAAACTACTAGCTTTCCATTTAAAAATCATTCAAGACTTTTATTGCTGAGACAAGTCTCCATTTCTTAAAGACTTATATTTTAGGGTGTTACCTTGTCGGTGTCAACATCTTGCATGATGGCTGCAACAACCTCCTCACTGCTAGTATCCACCTCATCATTTAAATCCTCCTCAATCTCTATGTAATCGCTCTGGTTCTTGCCAAAAAAAGCTAAATGCCTTATGCAAGTGTTCGTCATTCGCCATCATCTTAAGATGCACAGAGACGGCCGCAAACTTGCCATCCCGTCTACATCTAAATCAGCCTGCACACAAACAAACAAACAAACAAAAAACACTTTTTAATACATGTTGCTTGGTGAAGGTAACTATACATAGAAGTTGTGTTTTACAGCTCCATCAAAATCTGTAGATCAGTATCAGTATTTGCTGCTGTCAGAGTTTATGAAGTCCATGTTTAAGCTCCTCGAAGTTTATATTTCCCGTCTTTTTACTGTCCATCATCTCATGTTAACATCTGGAGAAGGATCCAAAAATCCATTTCCATCCTTTGAAGCTCCTACGATTTTTACTCACCTCTCTATCCTTCGTCGTTAACCGGCAAGACGCCGTCGTTCACCACCACTTCTCCTCCTCCAACTCCTCCAAAGGAATCAAACTTGAGATCTATAAAACCAGACTTTTTTTCTCCTCCTGTAAAGTAACTCTCTTTCATCGACAACACCTTCCTCGTGAAACTCATCGCAGGCGAATCACTCTTTCGATGCTGCTGCTCCTTGTTGATATTACTCTTCCTCGGCGCCGCTTCACAATTGCTCCTCCGCGGATGATTATTTTTATACTCTGTTTCGCTGAAGTTACTTCTCCGTGGATACTCTGTTTCACTGAAGTTACTATTCTTTGCCTCGAAACAGCTCCTTCTCGGCGACTCTGATTCACTAAAGTTGCTCCTCCGCGTCTCCATTGTCTCGCTGAAATTATTCTTCCTTCCTTTGAAGTTTCTCCTCCGATGCTCTGTCGCGGCGGAGAACGAGCTTATCATGCCGGAGAAAGACGACACGTCTTCTTCAGATCCGATTAGAAAAATAAAGTGGCATAGGGTAAATCATCCCTTTAATGAAACTTATTTTTGTGAATTTGGGCCTTGGATGCTAGTTTGTGGACAAAAACTTGAGTTGGTGTTATATTGGGTATTTTCTCTTAAATATATAATAAAAATAGTGTTGAAGTATTTTTATTGATTGCCTAATCGGTCACGTAATATAGACTCTAACCGGATTTTATGATTTGCTTAAGTCAAATGGTATTGTAAATAAGGGAAAATTGGGGAAATGGGTAATATTTTAAGTTTGCAATTTGCAAGTAGGGTATCACTAATTCTTTTAGCTAAATGGGTACACCTGTTTTAGATCAAGCTGAAAGGTTCTCATGTAATGGCTTTGTGAAATCAACTGTTTTAAAGATTGGCATTATGATTAAAACGTTATTATTATTTTAAATTTTGTGTGGGTTAGTAATTAAAATGTTTATGGTGAAGTCAATATTTAGATTAAAACTTTATTATTATTATTATAGTTATTAGGGTGCATGGTGAAGTCAATAGTTTCGGATGGAGTGGCAGATTGAGTTTACGGAAGGACGAAATTTTAGACAGTTGAGATGATTTTACCTTTATTATTGTTGTATACTAAAATGTTTTCTGCTCCATGCACAGTAATAATATTTTAATTTTTATTAAATTTTAAGTTTATTATATATTTCAGTAAGAATTCTAGATTTTAGTTTTATAAGTATGAAAAAAACAAATTTTAATATTTCTTTATTCAGTTTAACAAATTTTATTTGGCAGAATTGCTAAAAATCTAAAAATTTAAATCAAATACAAAAGTGTACTTTATTTTCAGTCAAATGCAAAACCAACCTAAAGGAGTAGTGAAATGTCTATTTACCTCTTATGACTAAACAAAAAAATCAAAATGTTATTTTACATTTCTATCCTTACGAAGTTTACATTTAATAAAGAGAAAATTACACGGTGGAGACTTCTCATAAAGTTAACAGTATAGACCTATTATGAAATCTAAATTCTAAGTTAATCTTATAATTTTATTTTAAAAATGTATAAAAATAAATTGTATGAAATTTCTTTTAGGTCATCAATATAAGAATCAATATGAGGTATATAAATTAAAAGTTGAAATAATTAAACAATTTTAAAGAATATATATTGATTAGGTAACTATGTGTTGGACAATGTTTACGGTTTAGCAAAAGATGTTCTAACATGTGATGTCTTTTAGGGTTAAATTCTTAAGTTGATTTTATATTTATATTTATTTTGTTATTATTAACTTAAATTTACATATTAATATTAGTAGTTTATATTTTGTATATCTTGACATTTGATTTAATAATTGAGACTTATTGATTATGAAGAAACTTTTAAGGGTTGGAATTTGTGGTTTGGGGAATGATAGACTTACAATAATGTCTACTTACAATAAATAGACGTTCTTTGTAGTCTACTAAAATTGAAAATCACTATTTCAAATTAAATCTAGTTCTTAAGTTATAAAATGTGAAATAATATATTATAAAAATTAAAACAAAAAGGGTCTCAAACAATAAAAAAAAACTAGTAAATTATATTTTTAAAATATTATATAAAAAATAAAACAGTAAAAAAAGCATACTGCCAATTACATATTTATGAATAAAAATGTCTAAATCATATTTATGATACAATAACTGAGACTTTTTAGTTATCAATCAAACTTATAGGGTTTGAGTTTTGTGATCTAGGGTTTGGTAGACTTACAATAAAATCTACTTCAATTTTGAAGTCTTTTTCAGACTACTTTAATTTAAAAACATCATTTTAAAATTATATAATATAATATAATATGAATATTTAAATAATGAAATAAATTAAATATTAAAATTATTAAAATAATAAACAATAAACAGCAATAATGAAACAGTCATAGTAGATTTCAAAAAAAAAAAACTACTAAGTAGACTTACAACAAAGTCTACTCCAAAATTTTAATTATAGTAGACTTCAAAAGAAATTTATACTGTAAAATGTTTTAACATGGTTATAATTTTTTCCCCTGTATAAATGAAATTTAGACAATCTCTCTCTAAAATATCTACACAAGTTTTTAATAAAAACTCACACTTCTTTCTAAAACTCTCTCCATTCTTTCTAAAACTCCCTTATTGCTCAATTCTTTTAAAGTGAAGATGCATTTTGGTTAGTTTGTTAATTCTTTTATCATGTCTTTTTCACAAGATTATCTTGTGTTTGTAGGTTAATTCATGGTTATCACCTTTCACTCTAAAAATGTAAGTCTCAGATCTATAGATTTTAAATGTGTATTTTTATGTTTATATTCAAATAAAGTTATAAATACAAACTCCGTGCATTTACTTTTCTACTATTTTATCTTATAAATTCTATTTTTGAAGTTTTATTTTCAGACTAAAAACTATGTTCCACATTTTCACATGTACATAGTTTTCAGATCTGAAAATTATCCGATATAGTAGACTTGCAATGAAGTCTACAAAACTAGGAGTGACTTTTTTTTGGATAATTTGTTTTCTCATAATTTTATCTTTATTTTGCTAATATTTTTTTCTATGGTTTTTATCTAGTTCTCCCAAAAATGAAAGATTCACATTTCTAAATATATAGATTTTTTTTTCAGATCTGAAAAGTATCTCATATAATAGACTTCTAATGAAACCTACAAGGTTATGACTTTAACTGTTTATCTTATGTTTTTCATATTTTTATCTTTATTTTACAAGTATTTTTTTCTTTCTCTTCCAACATAAATTGCAAGATTTACATCTCTAATGTGTATTTTTCTATTTATATTTAAATAAAGTTACATATTCAAACTCCATTTTATATAATTTAATACTAATTTATTTTAAAAATTCTATTTTCTAAAAATTTTAGGTTTAAATTTATTTTACTGTTTGTAATGTATATATTTTCAGATCTAAACATTTTCGGATTGAGTTGATTACAAATGAAGTTTATTACCCTTAACTTTTAAACAGACTTCATTAGAAGTCTACTCAAATATGATTTTAATTTTTTTGTCTTATATTATTTTCATAATTATATTTTATTTTGTAGGTATTATCTTCCAAAGTTTTCAAATCACCTTCCCAAAAATGTAAGATTTACATATTTTCATATAAAATTTTCTTTTTTTGCTTATATAAAACTAAATTTATGGATACAAGCTCTATGTTTTTGCTTTGCCAATTTTAGGTTAAAACACTATTTGAATTATTTTGCAGAAAATACTATTTTCAAATTTTGCAGTTGTACATTTTTAGATCTGAAATTATTTTTGGCATGAAGTCTATTTAAAAATTAAGGCTAGTAGACGTTAAATAAACTCTGTTGAATCCATAAACTTTAAGTAGAATTTTATGAAGTCTACTAAAATATAATATGTGTGCCTTATGTTTTCTCATAATTTTCTCTTATTTTGCAGGTACTCTTTTCCAAGATTTCATTTGAGATATCAAGATTATGAATAAGCAAACACTTTAGAGTTTTAAAAAAATTGCTTTGTAATAATTTATCTTTACATAATATTCATTTTTAAATAAATATTCTGATACATAATCAATAAAAACTGTATTAATTTTTTAATTGTATTTCACTTGTATGATATTAATAATTTTTGGTAGCAATCAATTTTTTAGAAAACTCAAGCGAGCCAAACAGTTAAAAACCACCATAAGCTAAAACAACAACTAACACAAACACACACACAATATTGAATGTGTTAATGTTATGTAATCTGTAGACTTGTTTTATAGAAATTTTAGAGATTTTGAACACAAAAGAAACTAATAATACAACTCCAATAGTAATAAAAGACAGTAAACTTTATTGTTTGTCTATTTTCCTACGTGTAGACTAATAAAGAAGTCTGCTTTTGTTGTACACATTTTAAAAAATCTACATTACGGAAACACTACATAATAATACAAAAGAAGCCAACAAATTAAACATAAGTTCATACACAACATCAAGTAACTGAGTCATTTCCTATAAAAAATGAGGATTTACATAGTTAGCGATCATGTTTAAAAAAACTATAAAGTAGACTTACCAATACGTCTACGATTATTAGCTAACTACATGATCAAATCAAAAGTATAATATTTCATAACTATAACATATTTTCTATTAAAAATCACTCAAACATATTATGATTAACTAACACACACCGTCAAACAAAAAAAATCTTTAAGAAAATTAATGAATAATACACAAATTCACTTTTAATATATTTTTGAACGTAGACTCCATAAGCAGTCTGCGTAAATGTAGACATTCATTACAATTTACAGACGTAGACTCCATAAGCAATCTTCTCTTTAGGTTAGTTTTTGCAATTGAAAATTTTACGGGTTACTTTCTATATTTGAAAAAAACATTGTGATTTTATAGATGTAGACTTCCATTTCATTCTACATATCAAAAATGTTAGTTTTTTTAAATTGACCAAAAATCACCCAAGATTTGACTTACGGAAGTAGACTTTAGTGGCAGTTTACATGTTTGAATTTTTTTGAAAGAGGTTAGTTTTGTAATTAACCAAGTTTGACTTTCTATTAGTAAACGGAAAACAAATCTCTACATACCTGTTGACTTCACACGAAGTCTATACACACTTACAGCTGGCTTTGTAGATAGCAAAAATCTCTGTGTGATTAGATGAAGTAGCTACAATGGTTTACTTCATAGAACACCAAGACATAGCGGTACCACCATATGTGAAGAGATATCTTATTTGCGATTTAGCATTGTGGGGATCAGACATGTATTATGCATCTGTAAAACCAATCAAATTTTTTTTGGATGGACTAGAAAAGAATAAGTCCATATCTTTTGTACTTTGAAGGTAGCGATGTATATGTTTAATCTCATTTCAGTGAAGAGTTATAGAATTATAAAAAATAAATAACTATAATTTTGTAATAAAATATTATTATTATATATTA